TCAAAAGATATAAGAGCTAGAGAGCTGAAGTTTGGCATGCATACTCGTGTATACCATAGGCAGGCATAACTCATCCGATAACTTTTTTATCGAAAATAATCGAAAAATTTATTTTGTTTTTTTTTTATTTTTTTTTTCAGCCTAATTTGAACACTTTTAGACCTGGAAACTTCAAATTTGCGTTGAATATAAAGTTAATGGATACAAAGATTTTGTAGTTTACAGATTTTGCCCACACTGCAACGCAGTCCAAGCGCTGTCACTGCTAACTGCGCAGTCAGGAGCGCGCGTAATATGCTTGCGTGTGGATGCGTGTGTATGCATGTGTGCATAAAAGAAGTACAGCATGAATTGAATATCAGTTTGGAGGGTTCAGGGTATCTCCCAGTCGAGCAGTCTCGACTGCAGTCTTCTTACTTGTTAATAATATTTTTATTGATAATTTAAATAGGTTGATATACAGACCCACATACATATGTATGAATATACAATGGAGTAGAAGCCATTTGTTTTCTGGATTTTATTGATTTTCGATATAAATAACGATACTATAGATAAGCTTAATAATTTCTACCGAACTTTATAAATATACCAAGGTAAGAAATTTCAAGTTAGTTTTATATTAAATCATAAATTATTATTGATTTTATTTTTACTTAGATCTCTTCCTGTCTAGACGTTGCATAATGAATCCTTGTTTTCAATAATCTGAGAAGGGTATAGAAAAATTACACTTGCACTCACACACACACACTTGGACACATACAGCTAAGAGATAATCCATTGTTAATTTTACATTTGGTAACAGCTTCCGCATGACAGGGAAAATCGTGCAGCGGCCAGTGTCAGAGGCAGAGCCAGCTGTTGGCCATGCCGAAAAGTAGATGTAATGCACTTGGCCCCTGGGTCTCTCTGTGTGTGTGTGTGTGTGTGTGTGTATTTGTAGGCGTGTGTGTGAGTGTGTGACATTTGACACATTTGCTGCGGAAATGTGGACAACATGTACAGACAGACTGCGAAAGGCTACGAGTGTGCGTGTGTATATGTGTGTGTCTGCATGTGTGTGTAGTGAGGCTCGTTTGTTAGCAGCAGCCGCAAATTTCTATTTGATGTGAAGTCTCTGCGGTCTTGGCCACAATTTTTGGTTATGCCCAAAGTGCGGAGAACAGAGAACAAGGTCCGCAGTTTAAACTCTTTGTGTGTGACTTTTTGGCATTCAGTTATTCAGGCTTCAGCCTGAAGGCTTTAGCCTTCGGTCTGGCCAATAACAATTGATTGTCTATTGATGACTTGGCCTATTGTTTCGGTTTGATGGACGGGGCAAGGGACATGGAATAAAGCCCAAAATAAATGCACCAATTAATAAAATAACAACTTTTGCGTATAATTAATTGTATATTATGGCTTGGCTTGTTAATGGCAGATGCATCAATCTACACACACAAACACACACATTCACTCACATTTATATGTATATATATTTTGCTTATCGGTCCAAAAACTACGGGCTGCTAAGGCCTACAGTAAAATATTACAGCAAGCACAATGTCGCCTGCTGTTTCACAGTTGCACCGGATGCTATTTGGCTTGCTCGTGTTGTTGTAATTTGTATACTCGTTCAGTGCAGGGAGCCGACCATATTGGTTTTAAGCAAAGAGACTTGCAATGTTAATGTTAGAAAGTGTTTCATATTTGAGACCTTGAGCGAGTATTACACAGTCTATCATACCTGATTGCAGTACTCTGACTTGCTCTTGTTGTGGTCATGCGCACCAATGGGCAAATGAACAATTTATAACCGCTTAATTGAACTCATTTAGAAGGAGCCAGAACCACACACACACACAGACCCACACACACGCACACACACACACATACGCACTTGGCCATGGCTAAGCAAATCGACCGCACCAGCGGCTAGAATAGAAGACAAGGGGCAGGACAACAGGATAGATGAGCTGTCTTAACCTAGCCGAACGACATGTCTCTATAAAATCATTGGAAAGCCAGCCATCCACACGGGCAATTGCTTCAGCAGGATATCATGGATGGGACGAGTGCAGCACATCGAGTACACAATTTAATAATCACGTCGTTTATTGATACCTCGACTTAAGTACAGTGAACACTCGACCAACGCAAGTCGCTAATCAAAATCCAAAAACTTTTGTATACACTCGAGCAAACAAATCCCATTCCATTCCATTCTTTTTTTTCACGAATTCTCTTTTTTAAAGAATGTTTATAAAATTCTATTTATCTTATAGTCAAAGCATTTTTTAATTTGCTTGCAGGCAAATTTGTGATATACATATATTGAATTCCATAGTGTTTATTTTTTATACCCTGAACCCATTGAAAATGGGAAATCAGGGTATAATGGTTTTGTGAAAAAGTATGTAATGGGCAGGAGGAGGCGTGGCAGACCCCACAAAGTATATATATTCTTGATCAGCACGACGAGCTGAGTCGATATAGCCCTGTCCGTCCGTCCGTCCGGCCGTATGAGCAAAAGGATCTTTGAAGATATAAGAGCTAGAGAGCTGAAATTTGGCATGCATACTCGTGTATACCATAGGCAGTACAAGTTTATCATATTTTTTCGATAACTCATCCGATAACTTTTTTATCAAGAATAATCGAAAAATCGACATTGTTTTTTCAGCCTAATTTGAACACTTTTAGATCTGGATAAAATTTGCGTTGTATATAAAGTAATTGGATACAAATACTTTGTAATTTACAGATTTTGGATACCACGCCCCATTCACCCCCAATTTGTAAAAAACGCATTTCAAGTACTAGAAACTTGTGCTTTGGAATGTACATACATTAAAACATTATGATTACGTTCTGAAAGGTTCATTAATATTGTACGTCGAAAAATTAAGTTATTCAACAAATAAATTCGTATAATATTGCCCACATTGCAGCGCAGCCCAAGTGTAGTCGCTGCTTACGTCAGCAGAGCGCGTTGTTATACGTGCGTCTGGATGCATGTGTATGTATGTGTGCGTAGAAGAAGTGCAAAATGATTAGAATATTAGCTTGGAGGGTTCAGGGTATCTCCTAGTCGAGCAGTCTCGACTAGAGCCTTCTTACTTGTTTTTTGTTATACTCTTTCACAAAAGTGATGTGAGTATATTGGTTTTGTGCAATGTCCGCGATTGAAACTAGAGATATGAAACTTCGCACCAATACAAATGTATACCCAAATTATAAAGTGCTTACTCCTACTAGGGTAGTGGCATATCGAAAAATGGATCTGGCAGCGTTTGGGTCGTGAATGAGTATTCTCCATTCGATAATGGCCGTTCGCCGCAATCTTACTTGGCCGTTGATTTGGTTAAAGTTTTTATAATTTTTTTTAAGTTCAACTGAAAATTGTTTTAATAAATTGAAAAGTAGCTTAAATACGCACAGACCTCCGCCTGATAGCAATTAAGAATATACGTATATTATATTCAATTTAGCATATTTTATTTTATATTTAATGATTTGCCAAATTGGTAATAGCCATTTTGTTATCATTTGTTACTTTTGAATTATTTGTATATTTTATTAAACAAGTTTTTTAATAGCTTCACAATTAAAATATATATAATACATTTATTGCAGTGCATATTTTTATCTATCCCTGTATTTGTACTTTTTTTACGTCTCAATTTAAGTTGCAAGTTAACCTAGTCTCACTCTTCTACGCCTTCACATCCATAAAGCTTTCGCTTCCCGGTGTTTTCGCTGCAGTTAAAACTGTTCAGGCTAATACTACGAATATTTTTGGCGTGCATCGCTAAGCAAATGGGCAGTCTTCTGTTTTAGTCGAATGGCAATTAGGACTCAACTGTTGGCTAATTAAATCCGGCGCCGGCTAAAAGTTACTTTCGCATCTGCTACGCCCACCCGCTCGCCAAGGACCGAGCAACTCCCAATTCCCATCCCTCAGTCCCTGCATTTTCCTTTCACCTTCATCGCTTTCAGAGTGAAGTGTGTATTTAGCGTCAAGTGGCATGTCAAACGCAAAGATTTACAGACGGTGCAGTATATCACCTCGAGTAAATTAGGTAAGTAGCTGCCATCCAATGAAGATATGCATGAAGTGATTCCCCCTATACGATGTGGGATTCTGGACCATGGCAATTCGCTGGTTAAGCCGCAAGAGCGGAAATCACACAAAAGACACCGCAATACCCAACAAGGACAAATCAGAGCATCTACTTGTTCATATTCCTCGAATACAATTACTTAAGAACTTCAGCTTTGTCAGCTATGTCGCGTTATACCCGTCAGGTGAGGCACAATACAAACAACCCAACCATCTCAGTATAATAATATTTGGTTATTCCCTGCGCAATGTCAAGTGTGTCGAGTAGGGCATCTGGACAAGACACTAACATGAAGAGTGTACCCTTCTTATATTTAATTATTTTCTGAATTCTAATAAAATGTGGAATATACTTACATGTACATACGTATGTATGTGTAACGAACTGACAAAGTCTAAGTTATTTTAGAGTACAAATATAAAAAATAAATAAAAACAAAGCGTAAAAAAAAAAGTTATTATACTATAATAATATATATATTATACTATAATAATATATATATTATACTATAATAATATAATAATCATTATACTATAATTAACAATAATCTGTAAACAAAATATTCAATATTGTACAAAAATTTAAACACGGATAAAATTGTTTTACTTTGAAAGCTAACTGATACGGCACACTAGTGCAATAACAAACAGCATATATCGATAACTGAGCCAGCATATCGATATTTGAATATAGCGCTAACAAATTCAACAGCCAGTCAGTAGGTACGTTATTTTTACACACCCATTATAATCGAAAAAATACACTTTGAAAACGAAGGGATAGATATACATGGCACAAGCTATAGGCTCATGTAACTTTCACTGTAACAAAGTTCAAAGGTTACATTGTTGTCCAACTCATCGGGCGGTTAGGTATCAACAGCTAGCTACGGTCACACTACAGACAGCTGTTTCAATTGTTTTGTTTACATGTAAATGGAACGCAGTTAGCGTTTCAGCACATTTCAGTGCATTTGACGCACAATTCATTCTCGATTATTTCTCCGTTTGAAGTCCAAGGCAACTGGCTTCTGTCATTTAATATCCAACACGCAGCTGTAGTTAAGCAACAACTGCTTTCACAAATCGGTATTTAAGTATAAGTACGTCAAAGTCAGACAGCATCAAGTGGAAATTTGCTTTTATCAGCTTTTTGCTTGACCCGCGCATTAAAAGGCCAACAGTGTCATTTTGCTCGTAAATCAGCTAAATTTAGTAGTTAACGTTTTGTGTGTGGTCGTGATAAAGTTTAAATCCGAAGTGCAAAAAAAGTACTGCAATAGATAAGATTATAGGCCAATCTTCGGACTTGTGGCCTTCGCCTTGGTTCGTTTTCCGTTAACGAACAACTTAACCGTCATTAATCCATTAATCATTGTTAATGCAGCCCCCATAATGGCAATACAGAGTAAACTGCTGGATCCGTTGTGCATCACATGCCAGGAGTTCCAGCACCCCTGGACGGATAAGTGCGTCAACGCCACCGCAGGCATCCTCCTATCTGCCACACCCTACTGCTTGCGTGTCTACACAATTGTATACGCCTTTTCACTACTCATGCGACACCGAGTGCCAACTTTGCAGGATCTGAAGCGCACTCTGCTGGGGATCATCCAATCAACAGCCTTCCTGGTCACCAATGCGTACACCTTTATTCTCTACAATTGCTTGCTGCGCAATCTGCTGGGTCGCTACCATTTCAGCACTGTAGCCTTTATTCCCTCGTTTCTGTCCTCATTGACAGCTATTCTGGTCGAGCGTCCGGCCCGACGTCCACTGCTGACGCTCTACGTGGCCAATGTGGCCACCGAAGCCCTTTGGAAAATGGCCGAGGCTCGCAGCTGGGTGCGTTCCATAGCACATGGCCAGACGTTCATCTTTGCTGGCAGCATGGCTGCGCTTCTATATCTGTATCGTCTGAGCGCCAACGACGACTCCATCTTCAATATTTTGCGCATCTTTGTGGGCAAAGAGGAAGCCGGGCCGGTGGTCAAACCTGAGCCTTTGACGACGGGCGACCAGCCAGCGCCCTCTCGACGACGACCCAGCGTCAGCTTTGCCAGCACCGCCGACTGGGTGCGCGTCTACAGCAATCTGATCCATGCCAAGCATGCCAGCTGTCGCCATAAGCAAAGCTGTCCCAGCTATGCCATCTTAGGTGGCCTGCGTCCATTTGCTGGCGGTTTGGCTCTGCAGGTAGCATTGAAGCTGGCGATGAATATCAAAAACATATTCCGAGGAAGCATGCCATGGCGCAAGCAAATCTTCAATCGAAGCACCTTGCAGCTTGGCATCTTTATGGGCACGTTTTCGTTTCTATACAAGGTAAGACATTGCTCATATTGGATATATATATTTGACATATTCGGCTTGGTTTCTTCAGTCCATGTCCTGCCTGTTGCGCCACAGCTTCAATCGGGACGATGCGGTGTTCGCAATACCAGCGGGTTTGGTGGCCTCAGTGGCATTTACCCAGTATCCAGATAATACGGTCGCCTTGTATGTCATGTGGAAGGCCATCCAAGTAAGTTACGATATTCTCACAATTATTTACCCAATCTCAATTATCGCTTTTATCTACTTTTTTTTAGATACTTTGCAGCATGGGCCAAGAACGAGGCATTCTTCCGCGTATTCCTAATTTTATGCTCTATACTTATGCATTCTTCACGGCTGTGCTCTTCCATGCTGGCATCATGGAGGCACAATCGCTGCGACCTAATTACTACAAATTCTTGCAGGCCATATCAGGCGAGAGGCAAGTTCAGACTTGTGAATCACTTTACATAAATTTTCTTATATACATATATTTATATCTCTTATGACAGGCTCAACAAATTCAATTTGAGCGCCTTTGACGTCTTCGGCCTCAACACGCAGCAGCAAACAAACAAAATGCTGAAGAGCCTAAAAATCGTCGACAAGCAGACACTGCCAGCATTTTCGTTTGCCTCCTGAGTGTAGCCACGTTTGAAGTCGAACTAAGGCGTGCCTACCCAACATTTCTTACAATAACCCTCAGCACTTGAAGTGCGCACATTCAACGTTCGATTCGTCTCTCCCAAATGGCATTTTATCATTGTACATGAATAGTATATGTTAGTATGTAAGTCGGTCGATTTCACTATATAACGCTCATTCTGGGCGTGCTCGTATGTAGTGTCAATAGGCCTATGGTGGTCACTCAAAGTGAGGAATATTGACAAATTATCTCTTTATTTTTTTGGTATCAGCTCTTAATAAAGCAAACAAACGCTTGTTGACTTATAACTCTTTCTGCGTAAAGGGTATTATTATTTAATTATGGCAAATATATATGTATTTATATATATTAATGTTGTTAGCTGTACTCTTTTGTTCTGTTATCTTCCCTTTTGTTTTCTAACCCATTTTCTCTTCTTATTTAACTTTCTGTTTTATTTTCCTTATCTTTTTATAAAACTCTTCTATTGTTCTCTCTTAAAGCCTATTTGTTGAGGGTATTTAAAGTGCGAGTTGATCCAGTCGAACTTTTATTCTATTTATATTTAAGAGAGCCGCAAAGAGAATAAATAATTGATAAAATGTCACAATGTCAGGGCTGATAAGAACTTCTGTTCTCTTGGCGTCCAATCGTTTGTTTAACTATATCTGATAAGGGCCAATATGGAATGTTCCGAAATGAGTCGTGTTTATTAGGCGGCCGGCGAGCATGCAGTCATAGCTGGAGCGCGTAGCTGTCTGGAGTACAGAAGATATCAAACTTGTTAATCGGGTAGTGAAAGTTAATTTGAGACCCAGTCGAAAATTTAAATATTTGTTTAGCAAGCAAACTTTCGATTTCAACATAACGTTTGCATTCGAACTTTGTGCGCGACGCGTGCTACGTTTCTTAATCTTATCAATTGCGCGATAATCGTAATAATTGATTTTAATATTAAATCGAAACACCTATCTAACACGCATACATACAAATTATGGCCGTGCAGAGCAAACTGATCGATGGAGCCATCAAATGCAGCTGCCAGGAGTATATCCACCCGTGGACCGCTAGCTGCGTCAACGGCGCAGCCGGGATTCTTTTATCCAGCGCACCCAGCTCAATGCGCACCTACTGCATTGTCTATCTAGTAAGTCATAGTAAACCTAACTTATTTTCAACGATAGAGATTCTTTTTCTAATTGTCATTGTCATTGTCATTGGCCTTCTCTATTTTCAATGTCCTTTTCCTACTTAATTTGATTTTTTCTTCCGGTTTTTGTCTTTTCCTACTAAATTCATAGCTTGCACTAGTGATGAAAATGCGTATACCCCGTTTATTGGACATTAAGCACACAATTATTGGCATTTTGACATCGTCGGCCTTTCTCACTACCAATGCGTATCTCTTCTCGCTGATGGTGTGCGTAGTGCGTCGCCTAGTGGGCGGGTTCCACCTGAGCACTGTGGCGCTTATACCTACGTTCATTGCCAGTTTTGCGGCGCTCTGCATTGAGCGACCGGCACGCCGTACTCCACTGGCACTATACGTGGCCAACGAGGGCACCGAAGCGCTCTGGAATATGTTAGAAGCTCACGGCCTCGTCCGTTCCATACCCAATGGACAGGTCTTAATACTGGGCTGCAGCCTGACAGCCTTGCTCTATATGTACCGCCGAGGCGTGCACAAGAGCAAAGTGAAAGATGTCACGTTCAAGGCTCTCGCAGTACTCATGGCAAAAGGGGAGGAGGGTCCAATGAAGGCAACAGAGGTGCCATCAAAACAAGTCTCGAGCCGGCCTCCGCTCAACCTCCGCAGCTTATCCGCCTATGTGCAGCTCTATGATCGTCTACGCAATAGAAAGCATCCCAGCTGTCCACACCGGGAGGGTTGCGGCACCTACGTGCTGCTCGGCGGCCTGAAGCCGCTGCTGGGCGGGGTTGGACTCCAAGTGGGGCTGAAGCTGCTGCTGAACATAGGCCGGATAGTCAAGCTGAAAATGGACTGGCGCAAACAGATCTTCACCAGAAACTCTTTACAACTTGGCCTAGCCTTGGGCAGCTTCTCCCTAATATTTAAGGTAAATGAACACATTACAACACATAAACCGACATTTATTGTTATTTTTCTTGACGTTCTTATTTTATTTATTCCTTTTTTCATATCAACACATTGAAAATGGGAATTCCCAACATTATAGGCTTGTCTAACAATATGTGGGCTTATGTGTGTCTGTGTTTTTTTTTTTTTTTTTTTTTTTTATTCATTTTACTTTTTATTTATTTTTTTTTTTTTTTTTTTTTTTTTTTTTGTGTAAGCAGAAAGAGGAGGATTCGGGGGATCTCGTAGTCGAGCAGTCTCGACTAGAGCTTTCCTAATTTTGCCTAGTTTTTATAAACAATAAACAATCAGGGAATTATTTGTTAAATTGTGTGTACCAGGCAGAAGATAGAGTGTTCATCCGACTGACGGTCCGCGTATACCTTGCATATGTGGAGTTTTTTTTTTCCCCCAAAACACGAAAACTATTGCCGTTGCTTATTATCGATTACATTATATCACTTACAGATTTAAATTTAGAGTCTCCAAATTTTATACAAAGCCCCCCTTTCCTCTCCCTTCCTTCTAAGGGGTTTTCAAATACAAATACAAAACAGCGTATTTCAAATACTAGAGACTTGAACTTTGGAAAATTCATGTATTCAATTCTATGTTATAATCACAATCATAAAGTTTCTTGAAGATAATCCATTTACAAGAAAAGCTATTCAAAAATTAAGTTCCCATAGTAGGCCCTTCACCTCACTTCAGACAAATCGTGTTTATGCGTGCGTGGTATGCCTGTGTGTGCGCGTGTAATATTTTAATTATGAATTGCTTGAGGGGTTCAGTGGATCTCGTAGTCTAGAAATCTTAACTAGAGCTTTCTTACTTGTTATTTGTGGCTCTGATCGGATAATAATTGATAACTTTTACGGTATTATTGCGATCTACTATACTCATTGTCGATATTTTTTATATAATTCTGTACTATAATTTGGGTTGCAATGTTTTCAAATGTAAGTTCAGTTGAAAATATAGCAGATATGATACATATGTACATACCTAATGCAATATGAAGATCCAAGGCTACGAAGCTTTGAACATTCACAAGGTAATCAGTATAAAACGAATGCATTTTCTCTCTATATAAGAGTGTGGTGAGTTATCAGCCCCTACTTTCGTTTCGGTGATGACGTAGTCTCGAATTCTTATTCACATACAACTTTGAGTCGTTATCAAAATTACCTATTGATTAAGGTGCGAGTTTAAATTATTCATGGAGATTTGTTCAAAAATGTTTGTATTATATATTAGTAAATATTATAAATTAACTTTTTATGCTGTTGCATATATATATATATATATATATAGAATGTATAGAATTGTAATTGAGTTTATTTTATGAATGTACATCTATATTAGGTACAAGATATTCCATAGTATCATAACATCGATCGAAGGTGTTTCCGGGTATCTATTCTTCGAAGACTCACGAGTAGTGCTTGATTACTTGTTTAGATTTTAACATATTACTTTTTAATTTTCAGTGTATATATTTTTTTACCATGTTTTGTTTAATGATGTTTAGTTTTCATAAGTAATCTTTTTAATTATAAAATTATATTATATATCTTGGTAGGCAGTTTCGTGTGTCCTGCGCAACGCTTGTGGCTATGACGCCGCCTACTTTGCCATTCCCGCCGGCCTATTGGGCTCGATTGGACTGCTGCAGTACCCCAACATCACGATCTCGCTGTATGTGATGTGGAAAGCACTGCAGATGCTCTATAACTGGGGCAGCGAGGAGAATGTACTGCCGAAGGTACCCCACTTCAATATGGTGTTATATGCCAGCTTCACAGCTGTGCTCTTCCACTGCGCCATTCTGGAGGCAAGCTCGATACGGAACAGCTACTATAAATTTCTCGTGAATATTTCGGGCAGAAGGTGCGTCTGGGCAGGGCTCTTTATAAGTCTATAAGGTCTAATATGCATTAACTTTCCTCTCCACAGAATAAATCTGTTTGATAGACGCCCTTTCCAGTCGTTGGGACTGAAAAGCCACGATCGATTGCAAGAGGTAATCAAGAGACTCAAAATAGATATGACGAATCCTTTGCCCATCATGCCGCTGACCGTCTAATACTAACAGGATAAGTGTAAGACCATAAACATAAATAGTACTTAAAACAATAAATTGTTCCTTATTAATAAAAAATTACTGGCTGATTGATTGATTGATGAGCAGCAAACAGAAATATATAAAGAGCTTGTGATAATCACCCTTTAAATGGTTGTCTCTTGAAATAAGGAAGAATAAGTGTGAGTCTATACTTATGATGGCCTTTAAAACTTGGTTAGCTTATGCTAATGTGCTCTAAATAAGCTTCTCGCTGTAGAAAGGGGCTTTAATAATCAGCGCAAAGTCTAATCTAGAAAGATTGTAATATTTTCCCATGTTCATTTGTCGCATTTTTCATGTTCTGTTGACTTCAGTTCTGTTTTCTTTTCGATTTTATATCAATTTCGATTCAAATTTCTCTTTAGCTTATATTCACTTCTTTTATCTCCATTCTCTTTAATCTACTCAGTTCTTCGAGTTCAGAGTTATTAGAATGAATATTTTTATTTAGGAAATTTACTAAGAGCCGTTTGCCAAATATTTCTTATCTAATCATATATGTTATCTTGTTATCAGTGATTCAAACATTTATTTCTTTCATTGTTCAAATTGCCAAATTAAAAAAATAGCTAAAAATACCATGACAAGTGCTCACATATTGGCCTAAGCCTATCTCAGGGCACTGCTTTGCTTTTCGTAAATAAATATAATTGCTAGAGCAAAGTGATATAATTTGCGGGCATAAAGTGTCGACGGCGCCCCGACAATAAAAAGTAGGAAAAAGTTTTGAAATTAAATGTTTGTGCATGCCCAAAGTGCTCATAAAATGGGCTGAAGCGGGTGAGCATTCATCACATGATAAAGGACAGGCCTCATCCTTGGCTGGCAAAATGCGAGATGGTAATGGGAGACAAAGGCAAACGGAGCTCCCCAGCTGACGGCGCTGCTTCAGACGAGAAGTGGCGGCTGAGCTGTAGCTGTGCTACTCAATTATTTACATTTATATGTCATAGAAATTTATTGCCCGCCATAATTCACTCGGCTAGCCCAAAGTGCAGCGTTTAAAATTTACTAAAACCCAAATGGAAGTCAGAATGAAAATGTAAATAAAATAATATAAAATAAAATAAAATAAACGCAGCGCTGTCCTTCGCCCATGATTATCTTAACAGGGTGCGTGCGGGCTTAACAAATGAATTATTGGCCGGGTCAAATTTAATGCCTCCACTTCGTTATGCTAGCCCACAGTAAAATCTGCCAGGCTCAGCTCCAGTCAGTCGTCAAATGGATCGCATCCTTGTTGTTTCAAATTGAGATGCGAAAAGTGTAGCATACTTCTCAGGGCATGCATACAGAAAATAAATATAGCATACTTCTGAGGGCCTGCAGTTGCAGCCTCTTAGTATTTATGAAATTGTATATATATAAATTTACATATATATGTATGTCGTTTTCTTGAGGGCCAGGCGCAACATGGAGGCAAGTCAACAGCTTGGAAAATACAAATGAACCAAGTGACAAATCGCATTAATCACAGCCAAGATTTTATTTTGCAATGAACGCAGATGAACAGCGTCCGCTGCCTATGTACTATGTATGTGTGTGTGGGTGTGGGTGCTTGTAGCTGTGAAATTATCAACTTAGCAGCTGCAATTGTTGTTTTTATTGTTGCTTATCTCATTTTTCCGCTGGTGTCTACAGGGTAACAGAGAGATAGAAAATGAGAAAGAGAGAGGAAAAAAATGCATATAAATTGAATATTATAAATTGTCTCATTCCAACTTCTATTCAGCTCCGTAGTTAACGCTGCGTTTAGTCGATTTTCCTTGGGACGTCTTGCTGCAAAAAGTCGTAACTTCATTTATGTCAATCACAATGCTCTGCTTCGCTAGTTCTTGTTGCGCTCGACCCAAATTGTAAACAGCTAAATTATGCAAATAAATTAGCTTGCCCTAGTTCGCTTGCCATGTACCAGGCCAACAGAGGGCGACCATAGGAACGATGTACATGGTAAACAATTAAGAGGAACTACTTAAAAATTATTAATTTCTTTTAATTTATGATATATTAAGTTCCGCTTCAAGACCAACGCATTGCTGGGAACAGTTGTCTATTTCCTCATTTCATTTATTTATTTTCCGCATTTTTTGCTTAAGCTAAACTTATCTTGGGCGTGGCAGCACCCAGATAGATCGATGACAGTTTAAGTGTAGGACTGTCTGGACCTTCATCAATCAAACGGGCAACGATTTTCGTTTCAACAATTTCTGTGTTAAGCATATTTTATTACAAACAAACTTTATAAGTGGATTATATACAAAAATTCTTTAGCTGAGGCTTACGCCAGGCTTTCTGTTGGTAAAAAAGGATATCTAGCACATATATCAAACTTAAATTGTATATTTAAAAACAAATTCCAAATTGAATTCTCATGCAAATGAAGTTCCTCCTGTCAAAAAAAAAAAAATAATAATAATAATTGCATAAAAAAGTAACAAGAGGTAAATAACAACAAGCAGAGATGTTGCACCTATGCATGCAGGTCCTTTTTGCTGTTGCAGTAAATTACATTTGATATTTTTACGAAGACAGGCCAAATGACAAGGTATGTCAACGCAAGATAAGCACTAAGTGAGACCCAGGCAAAGGCAACCGATGATGCTTGCTCTTGCCCGCTAGGAAATGGGTGTGTACTGATAGTGTCCATGTCTATTACAGAAGCTGATACAAATTTTCTTCACTTTTCATACATTTTAAAGTTTTTTTTTTTTTTTGTATTTTTTTTTTTTTTTTTTTTTTTTTTTTTTTTTGCGGAGCAGTTGAGTGTTTTTTAATTAAAATTTCTTGGTAACTCTTTGAGATGTCTCCCAGTGATAAGAAAAACTGAAATTAAACTGAATGAGCTGAACGCTGTGCAACATAGAACAGTGCAGTAACAAAAAACCATTTCGTAAAGGTTTCAAATTTAATACAAAGCAGCATTTGACGTGAATGAAATTATGGGTAGAAAATGTGCATTCTATAAATATATGAAAATATAATTTTTTATAATATAATACATGTATATAAATATATTTATATTTAATAACAAAAATATAGGATAAATAATAATACCTTACAATAATTTGATGGCAAAGATTGTGCTGTGATTTTGCAAGTCTTCTAATACAACAACAACAATGAACAATGAACTTGAACTGAACCTTTTATGTGCAATATCTTATGTACCTGACAGAGAATCTTAAAAATACTTCCAGCCATTGAAAGGCTACAAATTTATCTCCTTTCAGTTATTGTCTCATTGTCCTATACTCGGTTATCGAGATGTGCTCATGCTTGAACACTTAGTGTTTCTTTCAGCTAACAGAAACATGAATAAACAATGAATCAAAATTATAAATACTTTTATCTCATTTAGCTCAAACTATATTCACGCCTTTCAAAGTTGCCAATAGCTTTGTACGGGGCATGGCGATAAGAAATACTTGAAGCTATTTGCCCAGAAGTCTCTGGGTGAAGGTTGAGCATAAGCAGATAAGGTGCGTCCCGCCTCGGCGTGCAACTCGATTCGCATACTCTAAAAACATTATCAGAGAATCGGCAGTCAGATTACATCAAGTGGATTTTCGGGTTACTCGGGCTAGGCTAATCAATAGCTGGCTAATTATATATGTCTTATAAGCATTATTCAACTGTTTATAACATAAATTGGTCGAACGGGTGCGTATGCTTATCAAAGTTCTACTAAACATGCGATAACAGACTGTAGCTATAAATTAGCCGCGGCTAGGGCAACATGTGCCCAAGCAACTGAGCAACAATGTTGCGCAACATGTGTGCAAGACACTCGAAGTTCAATCGAACACGCTCGAACCTGGCGCCAGTCCAATGCCAAATCGTTTTCAGGACGACGCTCGACCAGAGCTTCGGCACCGAGCCGAGTCCTGCAGTCCTCGACAGGAGTCGCGTGGACTCGTGACTGCAGTTAGGCGTGCATTACGGTACGCATCCTGTGGATTGAACGCGACGCTAAGTGGGTTAGTAGTACAAGTTCAGTTGAAGCTTTGGCGCAGCGTATCTGTTCCACTTGCCACAAATGAAGCTGCAACATCGTGGAACTGAAACAGGATGAAACGCCATTGCTCGTTAGCAGGCGCCGTGAGTAGCTCATGAAATGCCGCTGGGAAAACAACGGCTCGACAGCAATAGAAATGATAAACGCCACTATAAATAGCCACAACAGCTCCTAAGTGGAAAAACTCATTATAAATATGTTTAATATATCAGATATACATATATATATATTATATCTATATATATGATGTAAATATATCTGCTGAGCCACTTCAGCTGTTTGAACAGTGCTTACCAATTTGTTAACTCGACTATCAACAACTGCTCTGCCATCTGGTCGATTTGCTCGCTTTGTCTTTGCCATTGCCTTTTGAAATGCTCTTGTTTGTGCTGCTGCAGTATCAGTTTCCTGCCTGCCACCCAGCTGGCAGCTGCAACAGCTGCCCAGTTATTGGCAAATGGTGGCGTCTGTTAAACGCTTCCCGTCTCGGCGATGTCTTTGTTCGGCAGCTTGCCGTGTGTTTACCCCGCCTCATGAACCAGCAGCAGCAGCGCCACCTTCATGCTCACCCAGCCCTCCAGCCCCGCGGCCACACCCACGGAGCACATTTCTTTGTTATGCTTGCCGCTCGACAATTGCGCCGCTGATTGCCCTCATTTCAGACTTGAAATAATATTAAAAACTTTTACTCAACTCAATGCCGTCTGTCTGCCTATATAGCTCTCTCTTTCTCTCTGTCTGTCTGCCTATCGGCCTATCTGACTCTCTCAGTCTCTCTCGCTCCTTCTGCCTGTCTGTACGTCTGTCTTTCTGTCGTTCAGTCACACCGGATTTCATGTTCGCTCCGGCTTGGTTTTGTCTACCAGCATTCTTCTTCTGCATTCAGTTTGCTTTGTCTTCGACGCTTCTCAATCCCGCCCCCTCCCTCCATCTCTCTCACACTCTCGCCCTGCGCCTAAATGTATGCTTCAACCGCACTTTGTCGATGGCTGCTGATGCAGCTGCAACTGCCACTGCCACAGCTACTCCCGCC